GTGTGTGTGAGTGTGTGTGTGTGTGTCTGTGTGCCCATATGGGAGGTAAGTACACTTAGGATCAGTTCTGGCTACTGACCGGGCATGTCATACTGTTCTCTTGATGAAGTCTATGTTGGCCAACTGTTAGCCTTGCTAAGATGTCAACATGACTAACAGTCTCCAACTCAGCCTCAACAAGCAAGCACAAAACTAATGAGACTTTTCTATTAAGGGTGTGATAGTCTGATTGATATTATTTGATTGAAGTCTCCTGTCAACTTTTATTTGTTGGTGCTTTAAATATTTTGAGTCATTGCAACATAGAGAGGCTAATTGGCCCATCTCATCCAACATCAACCCAGTTAATTCCATTGATCTTCTCTAACCCTGTACGCCTGCAAGTTTACTTTGCTTGCATTCTCAGCCAATCTTTTTTTTTAAATAATAGATTACATCTGTTTCCACCATCCTTGTAAGTGGCAAGTTTATTACTAGCTGCTGTATAATAAGGTTCTTCCCCACATCTGTCCCCAGCAACTCTGGCCCCTAACATTAAATAAACGTCACACATTGCTTGTGTAATCAAATAATGGAAGCAGTTTTTCCTTGTCTACCTCATCTAAACTTCTAATTGTCTTGCACACCTCTATCAAATCTTCTCTCAATTTCCTTTCCTCAAAGGAGAACAATCCCAGTTTCTCTAGTCTAACATCATAACTGAATCCCACATGCTTGAAATCACTGTGATAAATCTCCTCTGCACCTTCACAAGGACCCTCTCATTCATCCCAAAGAACGTTATTTAAGACTGAAATAGAGATTGACACTGCATTTCAATAAAAACGGAGTCAAACTGTTAACATTTCCACACAATCTGTAAAGTCACCTTAGTATTGTTGGGTTTGATGTGTGTTCAATCACACATGCTCATATCCATGACAGTATGTGCCCAGAAATGGCAGTGTTCATCCTATCTACATGCACCAGACTTACAATGCATGAGATATTGGTCTTTTATGTTTGGGAGTGGATCCGTTGGTGGGATAAATGCCTCCTTAGGCTGACAGCAAGATCCATAGAACCATTGTCCTGGAGAAAGAGCTTATATACCAGCTCCCGGTGATCTTCCATTCCAGGCAGCTAATGGATGAAGGATAGAACTGGAGCCAATCTTTAAGTACTTAAATTAAGTTATATTTATAGAGATATATCTCTTAACCCAACAATTACAATTTCAGTCCATTGTTATTCATAGGAACAAAGTGAATTCCTAGTCAATGACCATGTCCTCCATGTAATTAATCACACTGATTATCTTCTTAAAATTAATGTGCAATTGACAATTATGGGAAGCCATGGGGTGGCTTTTGCAAGAGGTCTCACCAGGGCATTATTGAAATACAGTCAGAATGAGTGGGGTTATGAATAAAGTAGATTTCAACTGAGCAAAATAAAAATGAGGAAAATATAAATTACTAGAATGTGGAAAGAAGCACTGAAAGAATAGAAGAATGTAAGGGCTATGTGATTAGTTTTAGTAAAATTCGAGCACTGTGCAATTCAATGGGTCAGGCAGTATGTTACAGTACAGCTTCCGGACTTACTTTTCCAGTTTAGTTTGGAGTGCTGTCTAACTGGCAAGTGTCCAGTCCCTTGACATTAATTCAGTTATCTACCACTTTGCTGGCCAGTCCTGTGAAAAATATTAAAGGCAAAATCATTTTCCTTAACTCTGTCAAGTTGGATTATCAGCAAACCATGAACCATGAAGGAACAAATCATTGACCTTCACACAGGTATCTTTTTTATTAAAAATAAAATTACATCTTTATGATGGAAGTGACTTGGAGAAAAGGCAAGAAACCAGCAGACAGACAGATGCTTGAGCTCAGGATTTCCTCTGGTTCTTGCCAACTCAGCAGGCTCACATTCCATTAAGCTTTTTGACTTCTAGACACAGCATGTATCTCCTTCCCTTTCTCTCTTATCCATCCTAATAGAACTAGCAGAAATATGACCCTAGTCCTGCTCATGACACTCCTTTGAGTCTGCTTACCCTGTTGGCAATCTGAATACCATTACTAGTCAATGTCACATTTTGCAAAGGATCTAATTTGTTACCTGTCAAAACTTTAAATGTGACTTTCAATTCATTATCACTGCTAAGAACGGTAGACCTGAAATGATTGCCAGTTGTATTTTCACTTAGAACATGCTCATATCAAGTTCACCTATTCATCATTTGAAGAATGAGATTTGAACCTGACTGCATCCTAGACCAGACATGGTTTCATGGGCAGGGATGAAAGAAAGTGATGTTACAGATGTGGAAAAAGGCAGTTTCAGAAGGTGAATGGGCCTGCTATCCTTGATTCAGCGAGGAGTTGAATATAGAAGTCAGAATATTATGCTTCAGTTATACAGAGCATTGGTGAGGCTACATCTTGAATATTATATGCAATTTTGGTTTTCTTATTTAAGGAATGATGTAAATACATTGGAAGCAGTTCAGGGGACTTTTAGCAGATTGATAGCTGTAATGAGCAGGTTCCCTTATGAGGAAAGATTTGTCAAGTTGGGCTTGTTCTGACTAGAGTTTATAGAGGGACGTGTAACTTGACTAAAGTTTATAAAATGCTGAATGATCTTGACAAAGTGGATTTGGAGAGGACATTTCCTCTTGTGGGTGAGCCTAGAACTGGGGGACAATGTTTTAGAATTAGGAATTTCCGTTTTAGGGCAGATGTGAGTGTTGTGCACTGTATGGGTCATGAGGCTTTGGAATTCTCTGTCTCAGAAGGTGGTGGAGGCACTTTGTTAAATATTTTTAAGGCGGAAGTAGAGAGTCTTATCAGATGAGGGAACCAATGGTTATTGGGTAAGTGGAAATGTGGAATTCGAACAGATCAGCCATTATCTTATTTAATGGCAGGGCAGGCATGAAAGACCAAATGGATTATTTCAGCTCCTAGTTTTTATCTTTACATGTTCATACAATAAATGATGCAGTGATTTTGCATTTATTCCTGGAAAATGATTGTTGTTGACTTGCCATTACTAACTGCCTGTCCCTAATTGTCACTGAGAAACCATTGCTGAGTTACCTTTTTGAATTGCTGCAGTCCATGGCTTATAATTTTGCCCCACATTGATGGAACTGTGTAGTTCAGAGTCAACCACATTGCTGTGGGTCTGGAGTCACATATAGGGTGACATGTTTCCTCCAGTGGTTTTTACAACAATTTCATACAGGTTATGTTAGGACCAATATTAATTTTATTCCAGATTTAATAATTAACTTTAACTCTGTGCTGTTGTTGTGGTAGGGTTTGAACTTATTGTCTCCAGAACTGTAATGGGGATTTTTGGAGTACTAGCCCAGTACCATTACCACTACTGTACCACTGGCTGTAGCAGAGAAGCATGTGTGCTAGAAACTCTGTTTGACATTGATGAGGACACTGAGAGAGCAAACAAGCCTCAGACCCTGGTCCTTTTTATCTTCAGAGACTATGGATGCTGAGAGAAATAATATTTTTGGCTATGGGCTCTGTGACAATGGCTTCAGTCTTTCCAATATAACAAAGGCTGAGGGAATTGGGTGTGAGGGTACATTTGGAAGCTGACACTAACAGATGTCCCTGAGAGGCAGGTGCTGTAAGCGTCTGAAAGGGATAATGCTGAGGAGTGCCTAAAGTGCCACCAACAATGATGATGTCATATGAGTTTGTAGAGAGACCAGCTTCGGTCCTTTGAGGAGTAAACCCTAACATCTGGTCCTCCTCCTAGTCCCTGTAACAATGTTCATCAGGTCAGAGTAATTTATAACTGGTCACTCAAACAAGATAAACTACTTCCTGTTCAAAAGCCTCTTCTAGTTAGATCAGGAAGTTATTTTCTTTCACGTTAGACCAAGCAGGTACTGAAGGTCCCTAATTAAAACCGAAAGAACTGCGGATGCTGTGAATCAGAAACAAAAACAAAGTTGCTGGAAAAGCTCAGCAGGTCAGGCAGCATCTGTGAAGGAATGAACAGAGTTAATGTTCTGGGTCCAGTTCTGAGGAAGGGTCACTGGACCTGAAACGTTAACTCTATTTTTTTCCTTCACTTAAAGTCCCTACACTGAGAGAATGGTGACAGCAAACCTAACGTAGATATTTCCCAATCAACCTGTTCAGAGATGTTATTACACACCTGTGGAGCAGGTGGGACTTGAATCCAGGCCTCCAGACTCAGAGCTAGGGACACTACCAATGCACCATAAGAATTCTATCATGAGCTGCAGACTCCCTTTAACTTTAACATACAGCAGATAAGACTGTGGTGTCACATAATGGCCTCCATGATCTATACTTTGAGCTTTGTTAAAATGTTATAGAGTTGTACAGCATGGAAACAGACCCTTTGGTACAACTCGTCCAGGCTGACCAGATATCCTAAATTGATTTAATCCCATTTGCCAGCATTGGGCCCATATACCTCTAAACCCTTGTTACTGTTAGAAATTGCTAATGGAATCTCAATATGAATGACAGACCATACTGTTGCTTGGGAATATTATAGGACTCAACTTTCTTGGCAGCATAAAGGAGACTTCACCTCAGATATTCTGTTCTTTGAGTGGGTCTCATAAACTCAAGAAAGCATTTGCTTGTCTTTCAAAGTTATTTATTTAACTCTAGGAACAGCTGCCAGTGAATTCTTGTATTTACTTTACCTTGGGATTTCTGCCTGTCCAATTTTTAGATTCCATTTTTCCAATTGACATCTGTGTTTCAAATTATCGAATCGTAAAGTCAATGAAATTTACTGGCAGTGAGAGAACTCCCAGAACTCAAGCCAATGATTCACCCTGTGCCCATTGGTACCTCACCAGTATCTCATCACAGTGTCTTATGTATGACCTTCCCCACCTTGGTTTAAAACTTGGCAAGAAATGGCTTACCTTGTTCTCACGATTCAGAACTGGTCATGTAGAAGATGGCAAACACTAATATTATGCTTCTTACATCCAACAGTTCCCTGTGACTCATTTAACATCGACACCAAGTGGCCAAAAATCATTAGGGGGTCGGCAGACGCACAGTTTGGATACACAGTGCAACAACATGAGGCGAACGGACAAAAATGGTAAGAACAAGAAATGCTGAGGTTGATATGAACGATATATTGTCAAATAGCATTGAATGTGGAGATATCAAGGATGAACAGAGATTGTAAGTGAACTGATACTGGCTGGGTTAGTGAGCTGTGATTCCTATAGCCACTCCGTTACAAAGTTGGAAAGCTGGAATTAACACAAAGATATTACCTAAAGAATTCTTGGCATGTTTCACATCAGGAGCACCTGTTCTATGGTGATGACTAGTGTGCGTGTCATCAGGGTCACACTTTCCACTTTCACGTCTTTCCAGCAGCAATAAGTTTTTGTGTGTGTTTGAGATGCCTGTGATATTCTGTAACACTGTCCAAAAACAAATCTTCTTTGACAAACTGTTGGTAATATCCAGTGTGCATCCCTTTTGAGGACAATAGATACAGAAAGGGCTGGACTTTGACTCCTTGACACTGGGCAGAGGAGCTGAAAACCTTCAGTTTCAACTCATCACAGAGTCTCCATCCCCTTGACGCATAGATTGGAAACACTAGATTGACATCTGCAGAAAGGTGCACCCAGCTTTGAACCTAAGTTCATTGTCAAGACCTTTGCCCTCTTTTGAACAGACCTCTCAAATGTTAATCCTGGCCTGTCTCTCTCTGCACCTACTCTGTAACTGTAGCACTCTGTCTGCTCCACTGATGAACTTTGTATGGTATGATCTACTTGTATAGCACACCAAACAACACTTTTCACTGAATCTCGTTACATGTGACAGCAATAAATCAATCAATCAATCACAATCCATGAGTGAAAAGCATCTGATTGGTTTTGAAGAGGATATAGGGAGCATACAGAAAAGTGAAATTGATGTAGAAGATTACACTCGAGTGCCTACTGCTTATATTTCTTCCAGTTTTAGGCCCCCACGTTGAGAAAAATGCAAACAGCTAGTACTGGTTAAACATGGAGCTGAGTGGCTCAGGATAGAGGACCATGTCTAGATAAGGAGGAGGGAGGCTTGCAATGTACTTAATTCAACTTTGTCAGAAGGTGGATAGTGGACAGAAGGGAATTGAACCAAAATTGTGCATTCACCAGATTTTCCTTTTCACTAAGTGCCCTTGAGGAAAGGTACATTTCCTTTACTAAAGGACATTAGTGAACAGGACTTTTTTAAAACACCAACCAGCAGTGGTTATATAATTACCATTAGTCAAGCTTCTTAGTCCCACATTTGTATTGAAGTTAAATGCATATCTGCCAGAGTGGGATTTGAAGCTATATCTTCAGTACACCAACCTGGGGTCCGAGGTTATGAGTCCAATAATATTACTGCTATATTATTACCTGCCCTCAGCAGTGCTCTAGCCCCAGTGCTAAACCACTCAACCATAATGAACAATGTCAAAATGAAATGTTGCCCTTTTGTTTTCATAAACCATTACTGGAATATCATTCACAGTTTGAAGGAAAACCAATTGGAACTCTTGCACTGAACCTTTGGTAACGAAAATGGGGTGTACCCCCTTCTTTAAGTCTAATACTGGAGTTCAGCAAGGAGCTGAACTCAACTCTAACTCTTGCCAGTGTCAGGCATGTGTCATCTAATAAACAGCTTCTGATTAATTGCAGAGAGATTTAGCCAGAATGCAGAAGCTGCCTTTTTGGCAGGTGTGCTTGACAGAAGAATGCAACTTAATGTGGATTGAGAATAGACTAGTTGCCTCATCAAATTTAATCCTTCCACCAGACCCAGAACAGTTTATACACTCATGGATTCAACTGTGGTAATTTCATCTCTCGAGACGAGGTGAATAACTACATGGAAAAAAACATGAGATGAAACTTTAAAACTTACTTGTGGCTAACGGCCAAAGTCAGTGGTGCAGTGCTTAAATGTTGGCTTTTTAATGAGAGGGTTGGTCCTTTGAATCCTTCCCACCGCCTACATTTCCTATTGATTAATTAGGCCTTATGAACCAGCATTACTGAATACTCCAGAGGGGTAGATAGGCACGTAAAGCTCAACTCCCCTTGTAGCAATTGTCCTGGTCTAGGGACAATGTAGGAGAAATCGCCACTCCACAGGTCACAGGCTCTGACAATAATTACCATTGCTGGGAATTGCAGTTCAAAGGCTAGTGAATGCAAGGAATTACATAGAATTTACAGTTCAAGAACAGCCTATTTGACCTAACTATTCTGTGATGCTCATGCTCAACACACAGTCTACTGCACCCACTTTTTCATGACATATAATTTATCTAAATAGCTGACCCTTCACAGGGGACTGTTAAATTGCAATTGTAATTACATCACTGTCTTCAGTTTAATTTGTTCAAAGGCTTTTAGATAGACTGAGAAATTTGCAGTTGATTGAGGATAATTCATAGGGATTCTTTCAATTCCATGAAATTGACTTTTATGACGAATTATCCAGGACTCAGTTGGACAATCAGACAAATACTATTAGATGGACTTCAAAGCATTTGATTATGTTGAACATTTAACATTGAAAAATGCCCCAAAGCTTTGCAGGGCAGGTGTTATCAAACAAAATTTGGCACCAAGGCATATAATCTACTAGGACAGATAGAGACATAGAGTCATAGAGCTTGGAAACAGACCCTTCAGTCCAACTCATCCATGCCAACCAGATATTCTACATTAATCTAGTCCCATTTGCCAACATTTGGCCCATATCCCTCTAAACCCTTCCTATTTATATACCCATGTTATGCCTTTTAAATGTTGTAATTGTACCAGCCACCACCACCTCCTCTGGCAGCTCATTCCATGCACGCACCACCCTCTGCGTGAAGAAATTGCCCCAATGACCAAAAGTTTGGACAAAGAGACGGTTCTTAAATAGCAACTGAGAAAGGAAGAGAGAGACCTAGAGAGACAGAGAGGTGAAGAGAGAAAATTCCATAGTTTAGGGTCTTGGCAGCGAGAAAAACAAATTTGCAAAAACTGGAACAATAAAAATCAGGGCTGTGCAAGAGGGCCAGATTGGAAGAGAGCAGAGATCTTGAATGGTTGTGGCGCTGAAGGAGTTTAAAGTGATAAGGAGCGTATGAGGCCATGGAGAAAAGCTAAGGCGTGGGTGAGGATTTTGAAATCCCGGTGGTGAAGCAGACCAAGTCTGATGGAATCAATTTTCTTGTTATTGCGGCCACAAGCAGAATGAGTAACTTTCCTAGATGAGTGACCAAAGAGACAGGTTTTGATGGGCTGAATGGCCTAATTCCAATCCTATATCTCATGGTCTTATGGTCTAAAGGCAAGGAGAAACCGGTAAAATGAGCTGGAATTTGGAGCTCAATTTTCACGAGTAAACTGAAAGAGTCTTTTAGATTTTAAATCTTCAAGCTCAAATTTCTTATTAATGCAATTTACATTTACTCAGTTAAGACTATAAAAGGAATCATATTACATATTTTTCTTGTCATTTTTTAAAAAGCCTGAAATGATACACCTGCTGCTTGCATAAAATGATGTTTCAAGCCAAATACCTTTCCAAGTGCTTGGACTTTAACGAGGAACTCAGGACTTCTGCTTTGCTACTTTTGTAGGTTTCTGTGCAGATTCCAACCAATATCACCCCTAAACACTGACGACAGTCTCTGCCTAAATGCAAATTACTGAAAGGAAACTCCTGGTGCTGGGGATTATCCAATAAAGCAAAAATGACATCTGTTGCTGCTCTAAGCCCAAGTTAATAGCACTGAAATGTTTATTTCCCTGATCAAGTGGCAAGAAATGAGACAGGCCACTTTAAGCAATTAAAAACAGAAAATGCTGGTGAAACTCAACAGGTCTAGAAGCATCTGTGGAGAGAGAGAAACAAAGTTAATGTTTGGAGTCCAATATGACTCTTCTACAGAACTTTGGAAACACTAATCCTATACTGGACTCCTAAACGTGAAGGTGCTGGTGTTGGACTGGGGTGCACCAAGTCAGAAGTCATGTGACACCAGGTTATAGTCCAACAGGTCTATTTAAAATCACAAGCTTTCGGAGCCCTGCTCCTTCATCGGGTGAACTTTAACCTGATGAAGGAGCAGAGCTCTGTAAGCTTATGATTTTAGAGTCATAGAGATGTACAGCACGGAAACAACACAACTCATCCATGCTGACCTGAAATCCCAAATAAATCTAGTCCCATTTGCCAGCATTTGGCCCATGTCCCTCTAAACTCTTCATATTCATATACCCACGCAGATGCCTTTTAAATGTTGTAATTGTACTAGTCTCCACCACTTCCTCTGGCAGCTCATTCCATACATGCACCACCCTCTGCATGATAAAGTTGCCCCTTAGTTTCCTTTTAAATCTTTCTCCTCTCACCGTAAACTTATGCCCCTCTAGTTTTGGACTCCCTCATTCCAGGGAAGAGACCTTGTCTATTTACTCTCTTCATGCCCCACATGATTTTATAAACCTCATATTGCAACAAAAATACAAATATCATCACATGAATAATCCCTGAAATGTGTTAATTTGATTTCACTAACCATCATGGTCTCACGTTGTAACTTAAAGAAACTTGGATTCTGTGGCATCATGGCCTCCCATCAGTTAGCAATAGACAAGGAATGTCAGTTTTAGACACAACGAAGATCTGTTGGGTCACGAGACCTGAAACGCTAACTCTGTTTCTCTTCCCACCTGCTGAGGTTTCCTAGCAATTTCTGATTTTGTTTCTGTTTTCCAGCTTCTGCAGTTTTTTTTCACTAAGTAGTAGACAGGATTGAAATAGATAGAGAGGGGGTGAGGAATTGAAAGTCTGATGAAAGAGAGAAGATTTTGATGAGGTTTTTGAAGGAAGGGCACAAAGTGAAGCAGTTCAGGATTGGATTTCTAAGACACAGAAATGCAGTGACTAAAACTATGGCGAAGAGGCAAAAAAGGTTTGCAATTATATTGCACTTTTCACGATCTGTGGACATCTCAAGGTGCTTTACAGAGAGTAAAATCTATCTGAAGTGTAGTCACTGTTGTAATGTGGGAAGCACAGCAGACAATC